CCTTGTTTTCTTTACCCTCCTCTCTTGCTCTCCCTGTACCCTTTCTACCCTTTCTCTCTATCCTCGTCCCCTCTTCCTTCTCCCTATTACACTATCCTTTCCTTCTCTAACACTTTGTCTTTTCATCCGCCTTTGCCTTGCTCCCCTAACTTTCGCTACCATTCTCTTTCTCTCAACCATCCATGTCTCTCTCTCCCCCTTCTTTCTCTCTCTCTCTCTCTCTCTCTCTCTCTCTCTCTCTGTCACTCTCTCATCTCCCCTTTTTCTTTTTATCTCACCTCCATGACTTCCTCTTTCTCTCCCCCCCCCTTCCCATCTCCAAACCTCCATCGATTTCTTCCTTTCTCTTTTCCATACTCTTCCTTCCTCTGATTTTCCTGCCCCTTCATATTTCTCTCACTGTCTCTCTTTCTATGACTTTATCCCGGTTTCTATATCTCTTTCCTTCCTCTTTTTCTTTCCTCACCTGTCTTTCTCTCCCCTTCCTCTCGGCCCTTCTTTCGCCTCCTTCCTCTATCTGTTCTTTTTCTCTCCCATCCCCTGAGTCTCTTGTCTCTCACTCCCCTAAGTCTCTGCTATATCTCATATAATACTGATTTAAAAGCGGAGAAGGGGGTGTGGGGGGGGGGTGTGAAGTGCACAAAATAGACAAAGAGACAACACTGCAAATATAAGCACTTCATTACAGGATAATGAAAGGAAAAAAATAGACGGAGCAGGAAGAGGTTTGGATTAAAATTTCAATAATAACAAATTAATAAAATAGGAGGAGAAGGAGGGAAAAGAAGAAGAAGAAGAAGAAGAAGAAGAAGAAGAAGAAGAAGAAGAAGAAGAAGAAGAAGAAGAAGAAGAAGAATAAGAAGAAGAAGAAGAAGAAGAAGAAGAAGAAGAAGAAGAAGAAGAAGAAGAAGAAGAAGAAGAAGAAGAAGAAGAAGAAGAAGAAGAAGAAGAAGAAGAAGAAGAAAGAAGAAGAAGAAGAAGAAGAAGAAGAAGAAGAAGAAAAAGAAGAAGAAGAAGAAGAAAGAATAAAAAGAAGAAGGAAAAGAAATGACGACGAGGACGAGGAGACGGAGGAAAAGAAGGAAAATAAAAGACGTGTCAAAAAGGCAGGTGAGGGTGAAAAGGTAAAAAAGGAAATTTTCGCAGTACGGTAACTTAATGGAATCTTTACAGATATCAAGTCACAGGTGACGGACACAACAGCCGAACATGCTGTAGCAAGGTCGGGTCGACCTTGACCATCAACTATTTTAACTCTCTAACCCCCCCCCCCCCCATCCCCCACTGTCTCTTCCTGCCTCATTTTTTTTTCTCTTATGTGTCTGTGTCGTTCTATGATACAGAGATATGACCGCATTAGGCGGCACCGTAAACTTTCGTTCTGACAGTTCGTAGCTATAAGGGGTGGTATTTTAAAGACCTGCATCATAGTGAGAAAATCTACCGCATGGGACTGCTCTTCCCCCATCCCTTTTTCCCTTCTTTCTATCTTTCTTCCCTCTTCCACTATGTCCCTCTCTCTTTTTTTTTCTCTCTCGCCCTTCCGTACTCCTGACCTTTCTCCCTTTCTTTCTCTCCCTTTATCTCTCTTATTTCCTCGTCTATTCTTCCCCTGTCTCTCTCTTTTACAATCTCTTTATTCCTTTCTATCTTTCTCAGTTTATTTCCTTCCCACCCCCTTTATATGTCTGTCTCTTTTCTTCTGTTTCTCTCTCCCTGCTCTTCGTCTCTCTCTCTCTTCCATATCTACCACTTCCTTCCTTTCTCCGTCCTGTCTCTTTCTCCGTTTCTCTATATCTATATTTCCCTCTCTCTCTTCCCGACTCTCTCTCTACCGCCGTCTTTCTCTGTTTGCCACATCCCACCCTCTCTGTCACTCTCTCCCTCATCCTTCTTCCCCTCTCCCTGTCTCCCCTTTCCTCTTCCTTTTCCTGTTTCTCTTCTCCTTTCCCATTTTACTCTTCACTTATCTTATATCATCTCTCCTCCTTTCTCGATCTCTTTCTCCATACAGTGCTTTCTCTTTCTTTGTCTCTCATTTTCTCTTTCTGCCTCTTTTCCTTCCCCTGTCTCTCTCGCCCCCCCCCCCCCGCCTCTCTCTTTCCTCTCTCTACCGTCCTATCTCTGCCTGTTTTTCCATTTCCCCCTCTTTTTGTCTGTGTGTCTCTCCCTTCCCCTATGTTTGTGTCTGTTCCTTTCTCTATCAGTCTCATTCTCTCTTTCTCCATCTGTTGCTCTCCTGCTTTTTTGCTCTGTTTCTCACTCCTCTTTTCTCAGTCTGTCTTCCCTTTTCTTCGACCCTGTTCCCCCCCTACCTTTTTTAGTGTCTATATCACTGTTTCCGTCTCTCTATCGTCCTCTTCTCTCTTTGTATATTTCCCTTCATTTGCTCTCTCCCAGTCTCTCTCCATCTCTCCCTTTCTCTGTCTCTCTTGCTTGTTTCAGAATATATCTATATATCCGCATTCATTTCTCTTTCTCTCCCTAATTCAGAACACATATCCTTTCTCTCTCTCTCTCTCTCTCTCTCTCTCTCTCTCTCTCTCTGATTAAAAAAAAGTTCATCTAAGACACAATATTGCAAAAATAGATAATTCATTTAAAGAGAATGAAAGATGAAGGAGTAGGATGTGACTGAGAAGAAGAAAAAGAAGAAGAAGAAGATAATGAGACCGGGAATAGAAACAGGAGAGAAAGGACTAGGAGATAAGCATAAGGATGTACACAAATATAAGACGCAATTTTCACTGTGACCTTATTGAATCCAAAAACCGTTATCAAGTGTCATGTGACAGCAGATAAGACTGTCTACAGGCTGCAGCGGGGTCGACCAGGTCGGATCGTCAACTATTTAAACCTTCAACAACATGTGGCTCACTTCGGCCTGGGGAAATCACTATCTGGCTTGTGTGAGGTAAGTATATTACGGGCCGCTGTTATTTTTTAGGCCACAGATATTTAAGCGTATGTACTGATTCATTACATTTAAGAGGAGATGTATGAGAAATGCGGTAGGAAAAACAGCCAGCAGTTAGAGCGTCAACTATTTAAACTTGGACAACATGAGGGGGCATTCAGGCCTGGGAGGTCCATGTTTGGTGTGTGTGAGGTAAGTGTGTTCATGACCAGCTGTTAATTGTATGCCACAATTAGTTTGTTGATTCTTCTTCTTCTTCTTTCTTCTTTGCGTTCACCAGCTGTAAACTCTGGTGGAAAGTTCCGGTTGTTCGTCCACTTCTGGACTGCAGTCCTGTTTCAGAACCTGAGTGTTGCGTGTGCATCCGTTTGACAGATCTGACACATCTGAGTGTAGTCTGTTGGTTCCTTGCCTCTCAGGCAGATACACTCCGACTTCGAAGGAAGCTCTCAAATAGTCGACTCTTACGACAGGCAGTGGGTCTATTCTTGTTTTCCCTCTAATAGGGCCCCGGAACCCACACGGGGGAGTTTGTAGATTGATTTAATAAATGTGAGATGAGATGTATAAGAAATGCAGCGGGATAAACAAGACGAGACAAGAGTCACCAAAGAAGAGCTGAGAACAATGGAAGACAGAGTATCGGTAAATAATTTTATAGAAAATCAAAGAATCATCTGGTCAGAATGGTTTAAGATCAGCCAGCAACTAAAGCGTACTAGAGCACCAGGCTACAAGGCAAGAGACCGACAAAGAAAGAGATGGTTGGAGGGAGTAAAAGAGACTACAGAAACTCACTATGAAATTAACACAAGCAATAGGGCCTACAGCTAGCAGAAGACAGGAAACTTCGCCTGATACATCTTTGCGACATTTTACTGTATAAACAGTAGGGGTGAAGAAGAAGAAGAAGAAGAAGAAGAAGAAGAAGAAGAAGAAGAAGAAGAAGAAGAAGAAGAAGAAGAAGAAGAAAAAAAACAAGAAAAACAAGAATTCTAAGAGCATTTCTAATGCAGTAGTGCAACAGACTTGGACACATTAACTGCGGCAGACTTAGAAAAATATGGATTTAACTGATTCACTAACCGACAGTTTAAGACTTCACAACATCACAACACATGTAGCAACAGAGTGCGCCCTAGCTCGGCTACCTATCACCCTTTAAACTGCGAGGTGCAGCGGCACGGAGCAGATATTGGGGTTGGGGGCGTCACATTAGATGCAGTAGTTGCAGCGTATTGCATTATACACTGTGAAAACGTAGAATATTGCTGTGTTCAGTGCCGTTTGGTTGTTTCAACAGTATCATATATGGATGTTATACTATTGCAAGAAAATAGGCAACAGCCGTAACTTTCTGCTATTCAAAAAGCTGCAGTATTACCTTCACGTGAAAATGAGTAAGCAGAAGAAGAAGAAGAAGAAGAAGAAGAAGAAGCAGAAGCAGAACAAGAAGAAGAAGAAGAAGAAGAAGAAGAAGAAGAAGAAGAAGAAGAAGAAGAAGAAGAAGAAGAAGAAGAAGAGGAAGAAGAAGAAGAAGAAGAAGAAGAAGAAGAAGAAGAAGAAGAAGAAGAAGAAGAAGAAGGGGAAGGAGAAGCAGACGACAAGATGGAGGAGGCGAAGAAGAAGAAGTAGCAGTTCTAGCAATAACAGTAGTAGCAGCAGCGCTAGTAGTAGGATACTATGTAAAGTATCTACACAAATGCCATTTAGTTAAGATCCATTTGCCTAACGGCGCTGTCCAGACACAAATTTGGAGTTAACAATCAACCCAAAGTATTTCAAGATTCTCGCCGGTGCTACAGAGCCTGTGCATTGTGCTGAGCTCCTTCAGACTCAGACTTGAGTTAGAAAAAGAACGGGACACTTATGGGTTACTACCCGTGTGTTATGATGTTGATCCGTTGTTCAACCTTGTTCAGCAACTTCCATTTTCCAAATCGATTTGAATATTAATATTCTGCAGCACGGAAAATTTATTTTCTCGAATGCCAAAAAACCCCGCCAGCTGTTTATGTTTATTGTTTTGGTCTTTCCTCCTCAAGGTCTTCTTTCTGTTCCCTGAGTCTTGAACTCTGACACCATGGCGGGGTCAACAGCAGTAATCCCACAGAGCAAACTAGTCCTCACGGATCCATCTGAATACCGACCGGAAGTGCGTGACCCCAAGTCTTTCAGGGACTTTCGCATTCATTCCGTGTCGGACAAAGTCAAGAGGACCTACGATCTCATGCATACCAACCAAACTGTGGCATTTGTACAGGTAATTTGTCTGTCTGTTCGTCTGTCTGTCTGTCCTCAAAGCGCCCTGAATTACATGCTCTGCTGATCCAAATATGACAACAATACACAGAGGAGTGTCGGCTATGTGGCTAAGTGGATGCGAACGTTTCGTAATGCTGGGATGCCGGGTTCGATCCCAGCTGCGGGCCATGCACCTTGCGTTGGTTTCGACATTGGTATCAAGAAAGCCGACCGCCCAGGAAACAATGGCAAACTACTGGACGTACATTTGCCTAGAAAAACCACACAACAGCCAGGGGCTGTTGGGTTTGGTCTTGCAACGTCATGTAAAGGATATGCAACTAACGTTTACAGAGGAGTAGCAGCAGCAGTAAAAGTAGTAGTAGAAAATAAAGAAGCAGCAGCAGCAGCGGTGGTGGTGGTGGAAGCAGCAGTAGTAGCAGCAATAGTAAAATTATTTGTAACTCTAGAATAAGCAGTAGTAGTAGTAGTATAAGCATCAGCAGTAGAGGCAGTAATAGTAGCAGTAGTGACAGCAGCAGTTAGTAGTAGTAGAAAAAAAAAACCCAGATGTAGTAATGAGACGCATTCTTGATATATGGCGAATCTTTGCCCTGACGAATGTGTACAGAAGCAGGGCTGCCAAAGAGATTTTTTTGAAAAACCCATCTAAGCTAAACAAAAAACCCAAGCAATACATAAGAAAAAAAACACATCCCCAGATTATTAAAAAGTACACATTTTACTGTTACGAAAGGAATAATGTACCCAATTTTATATAAAGATATATTTAACAAAAAACAAAACAAGATTTAACAATTTGAACCCAAGGCGACGAATAAAAACCTAGATCTGAGGGTAAAACCCCATCATTGGCAGCCCTGCTCAAAGAGCTGGTAACTACAACAATGAACCCTACTTTCCACTGAAGCAAACACGCTGGCGCTGTGCGCTAGTTGGGACGTGTCTCCCGCAGTCGAACTACAAAGAATCTCCTTATAGTGAATTGGTGGAGGGAAAAGCTATGCTATAAGGACAAACGCAAATAAGACCTGAAAAATGCCAGCACTGACACAGACACTAGGGAGAGATCGACTGCAAAACGATTCTTATGGAGGTAGTGAAAGACAGACAAAGACATCTTGCTGTCAGCCCTGTACCATCGTACAGTGACTTGTTCCACTCTAAGATGTCAGCTGAGACACCCCGTCAACGTTAATGTCAGTTAAAGCACCACTTGTAGACGTATGTACGAATCTGGGATGGCTGCGCGACGTCCTTAAGTCAGAAGCGTTCTTATTCCTTATCATCTCAGAACCCGTGTTGACTGGTGTCGCCAGCACAGCCGACGGACAAGGCAACAGTGGAGTCAGGCCCTATTCTTTGATAAATCTCCCTTTTCTGTTTGCAAAACAATAGGAGAGCCCTTTACTGATGACGTCGGTGGAATAAAAAATGTTGAATATTGACTTAAGTATCGACATCACAGCACCCAGGACACCTCCATAAGCGCTCCGTCCCCATCTTCAACAGCAAGCCAAGAGTTAAAATTCCGATGGTACCAGTAACTGATTGTATATCCGCCTCGCCTTTTCCCTGAGTGTCGAGCGTCGGCCAGATCCCCTTGTAACTCTTCACAGTGCCATTCTCCTCAGACTGTAATGATCTATTTGTTCCTCAGCACTGTTCACTCGCTCCCAAAGGACACTCGCAAAATCTAGCTTGTCATACATGAGTTGACCACCAAGAGGTGCAGTACTGGCCAGTCTGTCTGCCTGCTCATTACTTACCACACCTGCACACCCCGGAGAAAATATTCAAAGGATGCTAACTATCCGGGACCTTTGAAGTGATGCTTGCCACTCTGCACGGAGCATGCCTGTCTCCAGCAGATGGATCATTATGGTATGGGTTCCGTCATGGTCTGGGGAGGCTTCTACAGACACGGCAGGATCCCACTCTACATTACCAGCTAGAAAGACTGGACCGAGTATAAAATGAGGCCATGAGACTCATACTCGGCTGCACCAAAGACATCTGCCGCCATGCCATGTGGTATGACCCGGGTTTGCCGACGATAGCTAACTGACAGAGGTCAAGGCGTGTATGAGGCTTTTGGCAGAAGTTAACCATCCAGTGCACAAAGCTATACACGACAGAGAAAGAATGCATCTCAAAAGAGGACGCTCTTGAATGACTAAGGTTGAAGATTTAATCATCAGGTTTGTGACCTAGACGAGATCAGTCACGGAAAAGAATGGACGAATACACCAGTAGACACACAGGGCATCTTTAAGGTTGTCGTCCAACTGGGGAGATACTGCGGGGATTAGATTCCTGAGGCCGTAGACACAGAGGTGGGGGCACTGACAAATCAGCATTCATGCCCAGAAGACATAATCTTCTACGCAGATGGATCAGTGAAGCATCGATCAAGGTCAGCATGGGCACACGCAGCACAAAGGATGGGGAGGGAAAACAACAAAAAAGACAACGGAGAAAACCAGGCAACTACGTCAAGCATGTCCTGGAGATCCCCGCTGCTTCTAGAGCACTAGCGTGGGCAGCAGAACAAACAGCCACACATGCAGTAATTGTATCAGACTCAATGAACATGCTTCAGGAATTAGCAACAGACAGTATGCGCTCTTAATGCGTTGCGTTTGAGTGTGTGTTTCTATTTCTTTATGTGACATGTCAGTTTGGTATTCAATAAATGCCGTTTTCACTGATATTTCGTTCATATCAGATTTATTTTAGGGTTAAAACAAAGGTTTTTCTGAGTCGCCGTTGACTTCTGACGAGTAGTATTTTGCCTAATATTTGATTTGAACGTATTCCTGTCGTTCTTATCTGCAGGATCGCATGAAGCACTACCTCAAGTTTGACCATGCTGAGATGACTGTTATGGAGATTCTCCAGAAGCTGAATGAGCTGGTCGATGAGAGCGACCCTGACATTGATTTACCAAACTCCTTCCACGCATTCCAGACAGCAGAAGGCATCCGCAAAGTGCACCCAGACAAACCCTGGTTCCAGGTAACTAAAACCTGTTCACGTTGTCTTGTTTTCTTTGGCTTGAGTCTACTTTCCTCCTTCTACTCCTTCATCATCTTCTTCCTCCTGCTCTTCGCCTTTACTTACTTCTTCTTCCTCTTCTTCTCCTCCTGCATCTTCTTCTACGTTTTTCACTCCTCCTCCTCGCCCTTTATCATTATCATCATCATCATCATCTTCTTCTTCTTTTCTGTTCCCTATGTAATGGGGGGTATTTTCATCCAGATTAGTAAGGTTGGGGGGGGGGGGGGGGGAGGGGAGGCCCAAAGCTAACCTGAAACACCGAGATATTCCAGATCCTCGGATTAAACGAGGATCTTGAGATAGGTGATGACCATTAGTTATCACGGGTATCACGACAACGCGACCAAAGGTCGCCACGTGAAAGTAAAGGACCACCACGTGTTGCCAAGTGAAACTAACCCGTGGTATAAGTCAGTCTTGATTCTGATCAAGTTTAGTTTGTGTCGACCTGTTGGGGCGAGAGAATGTGCGACTGAACGTGAGAATGTCAAGGTAAGAGTGCTTGTTGAGAAAGGAGACCCTGACGACGAAGTGTGAAGCCAAGATCGACCATGCCAGTCTGTTTAATGGCCAGAACCTCAACTGAACTGATGCGAGCCGACTTTGGTCAGTGAATGCTTGAAGAAACTGCTCGTTGAAGGTTGCGTGAATTGGTGTGCGAGAGCTGTGATTAGGACAACAACTGGACTTTACTGTAAGTGTCAATATGCCAATAAACGTATGTCTCGTAAGCTTACATAGGTGTCGGCTTGTACCAGTTATGTAATGTGAAGTGTGTGAGAAGAACATTCACGACACACGCATGGGCACCACCTAGACAACGAGAAATATAAACACCACTTATTACATTTATAAACACGTGAAAAGTTGCAAAATGTACTCCAGGACTGCACATTAAAGGCAAACATCTTTGTCCAGACAGAACAACAGTAGAATATAAACTCTACGAATCACCGAATGAACTAAAAAGCGACAGTGAAATGTATTCAAGACAAGAAACCGAACTATTGATATATACAACTTAGTCCAGGTAAACAAAAGGAGAAGAGAAGGAAAAATAAATTAGCTGCAATGTAGCTATAACAACATGACAAGATAACAACAATTGATGAGTTGGGGAGTCGTTGTTTTATAACTTGGGCCAGAGGAAAGTTGTGTCTGCCAAGCCGATGTGGATATATTTATTTGTCACATCATACAGAGGCCAAATAAAATTATCAACTTTATGAAACGAAATAGCAATTTCTTATGAAACTTTTAATTGTGGTTTCTTGGCTGTGCCAGGCCAAGTGTTTTCCCTGGCCTTATAAAGTCCACAGCAGGATGCTGCCCACCCTTGCTTTATGCTAACTTTCGTTCTGTAAGGAACGACAGCTAACTTTTTTCTTTAAACAATAACATAGAATACGATTCCTTTATATTATGCATTTGTTTTTTCAACAGCTAACAGGACTCATCCATGACATCGGAAAGATCATGCATCTGTGGGGTGAGCCCCAGTGGGCCACTGTTGGAGACACTTTTGTTGTGGGATGTGCCCCCGACCCCAGCATCGTGTTCGGTGTAGAAAGCTTTAGCAAGAACCCCGATGTCAATGATCCCCGCTACAACACCAAGTATGGGATGTACTCGCCCAACTGTGGCCTCGACAATGTGCTCATGTCGTGGGGGCACGACGAGTATCTCTACAGGGTCCTAGCGGTAAGTGTCTCTAGTCGTGGGTTGGGGAGGGACATCAGCAGTACCTCTATACCAGCAATTCTCAACCTATGGGTCGCTACCCTTATTTGGTTCGAACAACCCTTTCACATTGGTCATAGGTGAGTATTAAGCAAATCTCCCCAAATAGAGTAGCCGCGCCCATTACACACTAGGTCATTTTTTATTCACAGTTTGTTAGGCTGGTCGACTTTGCTGAAGGTTACGGGTGTATCCCGCTCTATTGTTTGCTTTCCGTGTTGTCTTCCATTCACGTTTTCATTCCGAGAAAGAGAATGCCCGTGACATAGGTTGCAGCACTTTCGTAGGGAGGTTGTGTTAGGGCCAGTGCTCCATGTTTTTAGAGCGTTAAAAGCGCTGGCGTACTGAAATATACAACACCGGTAACCTTATGCGAAAGTGACTAGGCTCGGGAACTACCAATCAAAAGTGACCTAGTGTGTATATAGGCAGGGCTAACTCTGTTTGGGGAGATTTGCGTTAAGATTACCGATTCGCCAAAGACCATTGCCCCCCCCCCCCCCCCCCCCAAAAAAAAAATTTATAGAAGTTATGAAGTAGCGACTAAAATAATTGTATGGTTGGTGGTCGCCAAAACATGAGGAACTGTATTAAAGGGTCGCGGAATTAATATGGGTAATATAAATTAAATATGGGTTTAAACTTCTGGTTGGCTAGCAGACTAAATTACTGTGTCACGTAATTATGTTTATGTAAAAAACAGTGTCACCAACATGGATAATTTTGAGAGCTCTGGTGCAGTGTTTTCTTACCTTCTTTGTCCCACAGGGCAACCACCATGCGCTGCCAGACGAAGCCTTGTACATGATCAGGTTTCACTCCTTCTACCCCTACCACACCTCTGGGGCCTACTCCCACCTGACCAACGACAAGGACAATGAAATGATCCCTTGGATTAAAGAGTTCAACAAATTTGACCTCTACACAAAAAGCCCTGATTTGCCAGACGTGGAAGAGCTGACACAGTATTACCAGGAACTCATCGATCAGTTCTTACCTGGGAAAATCCGCTGGTAGATCCCAGGCGATACTGAAAATGTGTTTTACTTGCAAGTTTGTTTCGTTAATGTTTTTATTTCTTTCCTGTATGCATTCATTGAACACTCTTCTACCAAATGTGTAGCGGATTTGGTTTTTGTTTCGTTTGTATTCATCATATCTTTTAACAAGTTCGCTATGTACTTATTGGTGAATCTAAATATAATTGTCCCCTTGAATTCCAACGACTACAATCGGCATTATTGTGTCACTCTGTGGTGTTTATTTTTTAAGTAATGAACACATCGGTATGACAAATACATATGCATATTAGTAAAATAAAGATCCCTTTTCACACCTTTAGGCACAATGGGCACATGGGAAGAGCACCTATATTTTACACACCAATCGGCACTTGGTGGGTAATGTGGTCAGCATTATGCCGGCCGTCTTTACTTCCACATGACAGCCATCCCGGAACCTATTTTAGGCTGGGTCGACCTAAAGAAAATGAGAAGGAGATGGAGGAGTAATTGAAGAAAATAAAGAGGTAGGGGAGGAGGAGGAGGAGTAATAGTAGTATTAGTGGTGGTGGTGGTGGTAGAAGAAGAAGATGAAGATGATGACCTCATCCTTCAATAAACAACATGCTTACGAGACACATCAACACACTGCCAGTTAACAAACAATAAAAACACACCCAAAAACAAAACAAGAAAGACCAACATACTATCAATAAAAACAAACAAGAAACAACAGCAAAACTCATTAACAAATAAGTATCTGCATTTGAAGATCTGTTGGGTTCTGGGATGTTGCATGTAATGTTAAGAACAAGCCAGACAGCTGGGCGGAGAGGCAACAGCTCCTTACGTTTCACTCGTTCCTTGCGCACGTAGGAGCGACGTCACATACCCGCTTAACAGCTCGGCAACTTTACAAGTTACATTAGTCGCAAGTGAAGAAAATAATAAAAGCAATATGAGGGGCTGAAAGTGTCTGCGTGCATCAGAGTGCCGCAATTACCGGCTCAACTTCCATTCTTATGCTGGATGAGATAATGCCTTATGCCAAGTTCTTACCAGACATCATTCTCCCTCATGTTTTTGCAATCAAGCCACATCCACTCTTTCAGCCCAAACACATTAATGTATACAATCACATCTCCTGGCCTAGAGTTGTCCTCTGTCAGATACTGAACAGCGTCTTCACGTCACACGGCCCGTTTCCTGCATTCTCATCCCTAGGTAATCATCACTGTGTGCAGCTCTCCTCTATGCCCTTTCTGTACCTTGACCCATTCTTCCACTCGACCAAGCTCAGTGTGGGCCATCAGGGATCTGTCCCTCTTTAGTCTGTCATTAATCACAATGTCTAATTCTCTATTAAGGATATTTTCATTATCTCTCGCAACTCTAAGATAAAACACAGCTCGCATTAAACCATGTGTGTCAACAATGGCTTGCATAGCCAAGATCCCAGAATAGTTCGCAATGTCTCATTCTGTATGTATTCCGGTTTCTCCAGCTGAGTCTTTAACGGGGGTTAGCATCCCTAAACCATATACAATGGTCCGCTGCTGCGGACGTAGAACAAGGGAGGTTATATAACACATGTTATACACACAGTCAGAGCCATATACAAAGACAAACACAACAAGGCCCTGACCAAGTGTGTGTTTGAAGTCTGAAGTTTGAACATCAGAACAACATCATGGCACACGGGTAGCAGCCCATAAGTGCTCCGTTCTTTTTCTAACTAAAGTCTGAGTCCGAAGAAGCCCAGCACAGTGCACAGGCTCTGTAGCACCGGCGAGGGTCCTGAAATACTTTGGGTAGATTTTAAAATCCAAATTTTGCCCTATGGGCTACTCTTTTCGATTTCCAACTGCCAATGGATTTCTTTACGTGCGCAACAATGCATATGGGCATCCGATCTCACTACCCAGAGACCAGGGAGAATTACTTGAAGTCCAAGTCCAAATGAACAAATCCCAGCCCTTACCGGGAATTGAACCCGGAACCTCTAGCACTCGAGGCGGACACCATGCCTTGAGACCACGCAGCCAAGTGTCTATAGCCTCATAAAATATTGCCGCCGCCATGACCTCGCCATGCGCCATGTATAACGAGCCAGAATTTTGACCTAACATGAGCTGGTGGGGAATCAAGTGGTCCCCTGTAGGTGCAGGCTTCCTACCGATCCACACAGACCTAGCCAGTAACGGGTGGGAGGCCCATACTACGGAACTGAGGCTTAGAGGCCAAAAAGCAAGGCATGCTGATTCTTTGGCTAAGTCTCATACCAGAGCGCCATGTATCGGTTCTTCAATAATAGAATAACCAACATTGAATGCCTGGAAATAGCTAAAGAAAAGAGACAAGAGTTCTTTTTTCATATAATAAGAAAAGGAGCACTAGAAAATATCATGACCATTGGAAAGATTACTGGAAGAAGAGGCAGAGGAAGACCAAGAGAAATTATGATGGATGGCATAGAGGAATGTCATCAGTAGAATAGTTCAAGAACACCAAAGGCCGACATCTGTGGCGACGCATGAACGCCTACGCCAGCTGGCAAAACACTTGATGATAATGATGATTAATAGAAGACTCCACTAAAGGTGGGGAACACACTAGCTCTGTTCCTGCTTTCCACTGAGGACCGACAAGGGTACACGTTGTTGTCCTTTAAGGGTACACTGGGGGAAGGAGGCTTCTGAGGGACATAAAGCAAAGACGACGACACAACAATGATGGAGTATCCGTGGCGAAGTGGTCAGGCCGTCTGCCTTGCGCTTTGAAAGTCGTGGGTTGGTTTCACGGCGGCGCCGTTCATTTCACCAGTGCAGTTTTTACGGAGGGTCATGGGGACTGTCGCTGGAGCTTTGGAGGTCGTGCGCTTTGCGATGCTCGACAGGCAGATAGCTGTTCTGTGGAGAGATTCACTATATTGGATAAAACCCGGAAGTCGATCCTCTCACCTTTACATTCACAACAATAAAGCGTACGCATTATCACACGAAACCAACCAGGAAGGACGACCCAGACAACAAATGCCCTATGAAGTCAAATGTGTCGGCCGACAGGGGCAAATATCGCAGCAATCTTCTAATCAGGCATAACAAGTACATCACTCAGTCGGACAAGGAAGAAGAAGAAACAGAAATAAAATCATCAAACTAGTCACATCATATATAAACTGGCAAAGATCGTGACTTTTTTTTTTCAGAAAACTGAAATAAAACAAAATACCAGTGTCGTTTGATGACTGTACATTGTGTATTTAAAAAAATTAGTATAATTAATATTAGAGATAATAAGTCGATAATATGAAAATCAAACGAACGGAAACATATTAGTACTTGGGTGCAAACTTCAACTGCTCCAACATGCTGAGAGAAGAAATACGATCTATAATACAATCTGGAAATAAAGTATACTATACCCTTCAATATGTGCTAAAGTCAAAGTGACTGTCTGGCAACACCAAGATCAAAATATATAAAACTTTGATAAGACCAGTCGTTTTATATGGCTCTGAAACTTGGAGTACAACTAAAAGAAATGAAGCCTTATTACAGGTTTTCAAAAACAGTCTTACGACGAATCTTTGGACAGATCAAAGATGCAAACAGCGGTGAATGGAGGGCTACAACGAAATTCATAATCTGTTTAAATCACCACTGATTACTGGCATCATGAGAGGTAATAGACTGAAATGGTTGGGGCATACTAAAAGAATGTCAGATGACAGAGAGATAAAAACTGTATACACAAGGAGCTGAATGGTCATAGACCACGGGGTAGACCAAGCAGACGAAGGAGAGATAACATCCAGACAGACCTGTAAACACTTGGTGTCACCAACTGGAAAGAGAAGGCCAACCAGAGAGATGAATGGAGGCGGCCGATATCTGCAGCAACGAAACTCAAGGGCTCGGAATGCTGAAGAAGAAGAAGAAGAAGAAGAAGAAGAAGAAGAAGAAGAAAAAAGAAGAAGAAAAAAAAGAAGAAGAAGAAGACGACGACGAAGAAGAAGAAGAAGAAGAAGAAGAAGAAGAAGAAGAAGAAGAAGAAGAAGAAGAAGAAGAAGAAGAAGAAGAAGAAGAAGAAGAAGAAGAAGAAGAAGAAGAAGATTAGAGATTTATCAATCTAATTTTAATTGGAAAAGTTTTCTTCACTACAAAGAATTGATAAGTTTTGAAAACTGAAGTTGCCTTTTAATAGGTTGATGTTTGCTGCATGCTAGTTAAAGCGCACACCGCTTACATGGATTGAGAAAACAAGAACGTCCAAGCGAATCCCTATACGATGACAGATACTGATGGCTACAGGTTAGACTTCCGAGTAATTTTAGAAAGGCGCGAAGGATAGGAAATGAATAAATAACCCGACCTCATAACAAACACTCCAGCTTAGCGCAGAGGTTCTCAAACTGGGTGCTGCAAGCGTATGCCAGGAGTGCCGCTGCAATAATCAAGAATTTTACCAAATCTGCTTGAAATCAGCGAAGACGACAGTTTAACGCAGAAATACCCCGAAGGAAGCCAAGAAAAGTCCTGAAAGCAAGTGTGTTTATAAGAGAATACTATCGGCAAGGCTACAGTGCATTCTCAACGTACGCTTACATTAAAAAAAAATGAAAAATTCATCTAAACAGTTTTATTCATCGTTAATGCGATTCAACTGAACATTAAATGTCGACAGTTTTTTTTTTCTTGTATTTTCCCCCCTACGTATTCAAACTGCAATAAGGGTAGGTGTGTCGCGAAATCTTTTGTTGTCCGACAAGGGTGCCGCGGCGAAAAAAGTTTGAGAACCTCTGACTTAGAGAATATGTAAAGATCTGTGAATCATTAGTGGTTAACGTCATTTCGATCTTTTACCCAGGCACCCGGGTGTACTGGGAAATTAACAGTCAGACAGACTGGCCCGTGCTGCACGTCTGGACGGTGAACTGATGCATGACAAGCTAGCCGTGGTCAGCGACCTTTGAGAGAAAGTGAATGAGGCCGAATCGCGAATAGACCATTGCGGTGTGGAGAGAATCGTGCCGCGGAGAGTGACAATGGGATCTGAACTACGCTCTACACTCAGAGCAAAGACGGACATGTAATCAAAGTACTACTGGTGCCTTCAGCACTGGGAACCTTTCACTGGCTGTCGAAGGCAGAGACGGGGCTTCATAGGAATGTTCACAATGCTCTGATGTCGGTTATCTCCCCTCAGCTCAAGGCAGATAATTATTTATATTTTCTTTAAACTAACAAACTGTCTAAGGATACACAAAGGACACACACATGAATGTTGAATCGACATCACAGCACTCGGGACACGCCCATAAGTGCCCATATTCAGCAGCGAGCAAAGAGTTCCAATTCCGATGGTACCAGTAACCGTCTGATTGAATATCCGTCTCATCCTTCCCCTGGGTATTGAGCGTCGGCCAGATCCCCTGGTAACTCCTCGATGCTCCATTCTCATCAGACAGTATTGATCTATCTGTTCACTCGTTCTTAAAGGGCCTTACAATATCTTACTGATCATACATCAATTTTACCAACAAAATATACACAGAAGCTGCCTACAGTTTTCTGTACTCCATACAGCAGACAGTCAGCTTGTGTCGTCTTTCCGCAGCATTGATACACAGAACTAATCTCCCCAAGATATGCAGAAAGTCTTCTCCTGATACTCACGTTAAATAACTTATGCACTTGTCAGACTAGGCTTCTGCGATGAGAGGGGGAAAAAAGAACACAAATATTCATTAAAATAAGGCAAGACAGGTATTAGACTGAGAAGCATAGAAACAGACTGCTAATTTTAGATTTTCTTTTAGCCTTATTAACGATGAAAACATGAAACATATCAGTTGCCCTGACAACAATCTTAGGCTTCAACAATATCCCTGACAACAATCTTAGACTTCAACAATATCACTGACTACAATCTAAGTCCATAACAATCTCAATAGATTTCCCGACAACAATATCATACCACAACAATCAAAACAGTTGCCTCGACAACAAAAGCGGACAACAGCAATCACACTAGCTGCTCTGACAACAATATCAGGCCACAACAGCTGCTCTGACAATAATATCAGGCCACAACAGCTGCTCTGACAACAATATCAGACCATAACAGCTGCTCTGACAACAATATCAGACCATAACAGCTGCTCTGATAACAATATCAGACCACAACAGCTGCTCTGACAACAATATCAGACCACAACAGCTGCTCTGACAACAAAATCAGACCACAAAAGCTGCTATGACAACAATATCAGACCACAACAGCTGCTCTGACAACAATATCAGGCCACAACAGCTGCTCTGACAACAATATCAGGCCATAACAGCTGCTCTGATAACAATATCAGACCACAACAGCTGCTCTGACAACAATATCAGACCACAACAGCTGCTCTGACAACAATATCAGACCACAACAGCTGCTCTGACAACAATATCAGACCACAACAGCTGCTCTGACAACAATATCAGACCACAAGAGCTCCTCTGACAACAATATCAGACCACAACAGCTGCTCTGACAACAATATCAGACCACAACAGCTGCTCTGACAACAATATCAGACCACAACAGCTGCTCTGACAACAATATCAGACCACAACAATCACAACAGCTCCTCTGACAACACTCGAGTAACACAAGTTCAACCCTCTGATGCCCAGACAATACTCAAGCCACAAGTTCAACCCTCTGATGCCCAGACAATACTCAAGCCACAAGTTCAACCCTCTGATGCCCAGACAATACTCAAGCCACAAGTTCAACCCTCTGATGCCCAGACAATACTCAAGCCACAAGTTCAACCCTCTGATGCCCAGACAATACTCAAGCCACAAGTTCAACCCTCTGATGCCCAGACAATACTCAAGCCACAAGTTCAACCCTCTGATGCCCAGACAATACTCAAGCCACAAGTTCAACCCTCTGATGCCCAGACAATACTCAAGCCACCAGTTCAACCCTCTGATGCCCAGACAATACTCAAGCCACAAGTTCAACCCTCTGATGCCCAGACAATACTCAAGCCACAAGTTCAACCCTCTGATGCCCAGACAATACTCAAGCCACAAGTTTAACCCTCTGATGCCCAGACAATACTCAAGTCACAAGTTTAACATCTCTGATGCCCAGACAATACTCAAGCCCCAAGTTCAACATCTGCGATGCCCAGACAATTCTCAAGCCACAAGTTCAACATCTGCGATGCCCAGACAATACTCAAGCCACAAGTTCAACATCTGTGATGCCCAGACAATACTCAAGCCACAAGTTCAACATCTCTTATGCCCTGATAACACTCAAGCCACAAGTTCAACATCTGTGATGCCCTGACAACACTTAAGATACAAATTGAACATCTGTGATGCCCTGACAACACTTAAGTCACAAGTTGAACATCTGTGATGCCCTGACAACACTCGAATCACACAAGTTTGACACCTCTGATGCCCAGATAACATTCAAGCCAGTTCAACTTCTCCAATGCCCTGAAAACTCTCAAGCCGAAGGATCAGCACATCTGACGCCTTTACTTACTCGATTAGCTAACAGAATCAGGATCAGTTTGAAGATATGAAACCCATCCAGAAACAGAGTCACACAGTGCCTGGCAAATGGTTGAGAAGTCACAGTTTACAAGCTGTATGTTTCCAACAAGTCTACAAGGCTTATATTATGTTACCATTGTTCATTACAACAACGACATTAAAAATCCATTTTCTCGGAGTGGGAGATGGGACATACGAAGCTTCACGCCAGCGGGAGACCGGGTATATGAAGCTTCACGCCAGTGGGAGACTAAGTATGTGGGACTTCACGTTTACTGGAGACTGGGTATATGAGGCTTCACGCCATTGGGTGACCGGATATGCGAGGCTTCGCGCCGATGGAAAACTGGGTATGTGAGCCTTCACGCCAGTTGTAGACCGGGTATGCGAGGCTTCACGCCAGAGGAAGACCAGGTATGTGAGGCTTTATGCCAGTGGGAGACCGGGTATATCAGGCTTTATGCCAGTAGGAGACCGGGTATATGAGGCTTCACGCCAGAGGGAGACCGGATAAATGAGGCTTAACGCCAGAGGGAGACCGGGTAAATGAGGCTTAACGCCAGAGGCTTCAGGCTCCCCCCCCCCCCCCCACACACACACACACCTAAAAAGCACCTCATAAAGCTAGATACTTACTATTTATGTTGTTAATGTATTTCACAACAAAGAGTTTGCAAGAGTTATATTGTCAATGTATTTCACAACAAAGAGTTTGCAAGAGTTATGTTGTCAATGCTCCCTTCCCCACCTTTTTTCAGCAAAACAAACAATTTATGAGATATATATTTTATCGATGTTTAAAGGACAAAAAGAAACAGACTGTTTACTGGGGATATATTATTACTGTTCTCTGCAGTACACTACGACACACATAAACTGACACCCACACAGTACTTCAAAGTATTCAAAAGTAGTATGTGGAGCAGACGCCGATGTCGCAGCTATGCTGTAAACAGGCCCAACGCAGTTACGTCTTTCCTATTTAAAAAAAAATGATGAAACAGAAGAAGATATACCAGGCTTTGTTGCACTTAGATTCATCCATTCACTTTTACAAAGAACACTATGCGCTTCCTCTGCCTCTCACCATAGAAACATGTAAATTGTAAGTAGAACCCAACAAATGAGTAGCAGGTATCTTGTTCCTAAAACGAGTAAAGTACTAGGACAGCTGAAACAGCTGACTGTTCTCACCAAACGAAGTCCATCTTTCCCTGGGTCCTCTTCTCCACAGCCAACTGGGTGTCGTACAGAACAAAGAAAGCGAAGAGAACCAAGCTGCTGTAAAGGTACAT